TCACTGAGTTTGTCTGAAGCAATTTCAATGGTGACTGCATCGCAACTTCAAATTGTGCAATCCCCGATTACTGCCCTAATCTCCTCCATTTCGACTTCGGTGAATGTCAAATTGGATGACTCCAACTATCTTAATTGGCACTTTCAGATACAACTCTTGTTGGAGAGCAATGGAATTATGGGGTTTGTTGATGGCTCACATCCCTGTCCTCCTCAATTTTTCGATCAATCTGGTGCCTCTGGTATGAACTCTAGCTCTAATGCTTCTGTTGCAACGGATGAGTTTATGATTTGGAAAATGCATGATAAGGCTGTCATGCAACTGCTAACTGCTACCCTTTCGCCTGCTGCTCTATCTTGTGCTATTGGTAGTAAGAGTTCTCAGGATATATGGATTCGTTTGAAAGAACAATTCTCTACTGTGTCTAAGACTAGTATCTTTCAAATGAAATATAATCTCCAAACTATTAAGAAGGGTTCTGATTCAGTGTCCCAGTATCTTCATAGGATAAAAAAGGCTCGGGATTACTTATCTGCTGCTGGAGTTCATTTTGCTGATGAAGATATTGTTATCCTTGCTCTCAATGGCTTACCCTCTGAATATAACACTTTTCGGTGTGTCATTAGAGGTCGTGAGAATGTGATATCTCTTAAAGAGTTTCGATCTCAGTTGCTTGCTGAAGAGATTATTGTTGAGAATTCTACCACTGCACCATTTATTACTGCAATGGTTGCAAATAATGTTTCGCATTCCGGAAAGGGTGCATCTGGTCAGTCTCAGTTATTCTCTGGTGGTTATAAGCCGTTCAATGGCAACAGAAACAAAGGAAAATGCAAGTTTAATCAAGGGTTTCGGTCTTATCCACCCAAACCGTCTTTTTCCACTCAAACACATATGATACCAACACCGAATCCGGGCATCCTTGGTCACTCCCCAGTGCAGTCTTATGGCCATTCAAGTGTTTCCTTGGTGCAAACCTGTCAACTTTGTAATGCTGAAGGCCACACCGCACCATTCTGCCGTTCTAAACCTTCTGACAGAGTTAATTGTCAAATCTGTGGCAAGCACAATCACACTACATGGTATTGTTTTTATAATGACAAAGGCCCTAATTTTGTTGGTGCTCCCAGTCAATTTTATCCGTCTCAGCTGCATTCCTCAAACTTTGGTGCTCCCGGCTACAATGTTTCTAGTCAGCACTCTACCATGAATGGACACCAATTCTCTCCTCAAGCTATGCATACTGTGATGCCTCAGTCTCCTTCCGTGGCATCTCCTTCTCACTTTAATCCTCAAGTGTGGCTCACTGACTCTGGTGCTACCAATCACATGACTTTTGATCTCAGCAACTTATCTCTGGCATCTCCATATCCTACCTCTGAGATTGTCCAAACTGCCAATGGTGAAGGTTTGTCTGTATCTCATATTGGCAGTACTGTTCTTAATCTTTCCAAAGTTAATTATGTTCCTCCAATGAAGCTCAATTCTGTGTTGTATGTTCCGAAGTTAACCCAAAACTTATTATCTGTGCATCGGATCTGTTTGGATAACAATTGCTGGCTAATTTTTGATGCTTTTTGCTTCTGGATTCAGGACAAGGCCACATGGAGGATCATTTACAAAGGAGTATGCAGTAATGGTCTATACCCAATTCCCTGTCTTTCAACCACTTCTCATGGATCCACCTCAGTACCGTTCCAAGCTAAAGCTCTTCTCGGTCAGCACATTCACTCTACTACTTGGCACAATAGACTAGGCCATCCATCCAATTCTATTGTTTCTTTGATAAAACAAGCTCATATTCCCTGTCCCAAACTATCCTTACCTGTCTTGTGTTCTAGTTGTTTGAAGGGAAAGTTTTGTAAACTTCCTTTTCCTCTAAGTCCCAATAAGTCTGTAAAACCCTTTGTTATAGTTCATAGTGACCTTTGGGGTCCAGCCCTTTCTGTTTCTATTGATGGTTACAAGTATTATGTGACCTTTATTGATGAGTGTACACGATACTGCTGGATTTTCCCATTAATAAATAAATCTGATGTCTTTGCCAAATTTGTTGCATTCTATTCCTTTGTTATTACTCAGTTTGCAACTCCTATTCAAACTCTTCAAAGTGATGGAGGGGGAGAGTATGTTAGTAAAGCATTTCAGTCATTTCTTCTTGAAAAATGCATTACACATCATAAATCCTGTCCATATACTCCTGAGCAAAATGGCCTCGCTGAGAGAAAGCATAGGCATATCATTGAAACAACTGTGACCCTTTTACAACTGCAAGATTACCTGCCCAGTTTTGGTCCTATGCTTGTCAAACAGCCATCTACCTCATAAATAGAATGCCCACTCCTGTCCTAGGCAATCATTCTCCATTTGAACTATTGTTTGGGCTTCTCCGTGTCATTTCCCATCTTAGATCATTTGGTTGTGCTTGTTATCCGTTATTAAGGCCTTATAATGACTCTAAGCTGCAACCAAAAACCACCAAGTGTATTTTCCTGGGGTATGCTACCAACTATAAAGGGTATATATGTTATGAGGTTTCTAAACAAAGACTATACATATCACGGCATGTAGTGTTTGATGAGTCTCAATTCCCATACACAGACTTGTTGGTCCATCATACCTCATCACACCTTAGTTCTACCACCCACAGTCCAGTACCTGTTGTTTCCACTGATAATGTTGTGGTCTCTATGCCTACTGTCCCCATAACATCACAATCACATCCTGCCTCTTCCAATTTGCCTGGTTCTCCTACCATATCACTCTCTCCGATTTCATCATCACCATTATCCTCTCAGTCCATTACTGCCTCTACTACTTCTCAACCTCATGTGGCACTTGTCAATGGTTCTCCTCAGTCTCAAGTTCCAGAAGTACAATTTCATCCTGATACTTTGTCAGTGGTACTGGAGGTTCCACCAATCAATTTACATCCTATGCAAACTCGAAGCAAGAGTGGAATTATCAAGAAAATAGCTTTATTAGCTACTGTTCAGGAGTCTAAGGGTACTGATTTGTCTCTTATTGAACCAACTTCCTACAAATCTGCCCTTAAGAATCCAATTTGGTTTAAGGCTATGCAAGAGGAAATCAGTGCTTTGCATACACAAGGTACCTGGAATCTGGTGGTCTTACCTTCCTCAAAGAATTTGGTGGGGTGCAAGTGGATCTTCAAGATCAAGAGACATTCTGATGGTACTATTGCCTGACATAAAGCTAGATTAGTAGCTAAAGGGTTCAGTCAAGAACCTGGAATTGACTATGGGGAAACGTTCAGTCCTGTGGTTAAACCTACCACTGTTCAGTTAGTATTGGCTCTTGCAGCTCAGTTTGGTTGGTCCCTTCGACAACTCGATGTCAAAAATGCCTTTTTACATGGCATTTTAGAAGACGAAGTGTACATGGCTCAGCCTCCTGGGTTTGAAGATGTTCATCATCCTTACCTAGTTTGCAAACTGCAGAAATCCCTATATGGACTCAAGCAAGCTCCCCGAGCTTGGAATGATAGATTCACCAAATTCCTGCCTCGTTTGGGATTTCAAACCACCTATTCGGATTCCTCTTTGTTTGTCAAAACGGTTGATTCTGGTATTGTCATTCTTCTACTCTATGTGGATGATATTATCATCACAGGAAGTGCATCTGCATCCATACAACAGGTTATTACTGCTTTACACACTGAGTTTGACATCAAGGATTTAGGGGATCTGCATTATTTTCTTGGCATTCAAATTTCACGGACTACCACTGGTTTATTCTTGTCTCAATCGAAATATGTGTTGGATCTTCTCACCAAAACAGAGATGCTCGATGCAAAACCTTGTGACACTCCTTGTTTGCCATATAACAGGCTTCTCAAGGATGATGGTGATCCATATACCAATCCTACTTTGTACAGAAGTGTGGTAGGTGATTTGCAGTACCTTACGTTTACAAGGCCGGATATAGCATTCTCTGTCCATCAAGTGGCTCAATTCATGCAATCCCCTATGGTTGCTCACTTTACAGCAGTCAAACGAATCTTACGATACTTAAAAGGAACCCTTAGTCATGGCATCGGTTATTCTCGAGGCTCGCTTCAATTAAAGGCCTTCAGTGATGCTGACTGGGTAGGGGATCCTAATGACCGACGGTCGACTACTGGCTTGGTTGTGTTTTTAAGGAATAGCCCTATTTCCTGGTCATCCAAGAAGCAACTGACAGTATCCCGGTCTTCTACAGAGGCCGAATATCATGCCCTGTCATCCACATCTGCAGAATTGGACTGGATCCAGCAACTCTTAATATTCTTGCAGGTTCCCTTATCCTCTCCACCTGTGTTGTTTTGTGATAATCTGTCTGCCATTGCGTTGTCTTTTAATCCCGTTCAACATCAACGCACTAAACACATTGAGATTGATGTTCATTTTATGCGGGAACGAGTGGCAAAGAAGCACCTCTCTATGCAGTTTGTGTCGTCCAAAGAGCAGTTTGTTGACATTCTGACTAAAGGCTTGAGTTCTCCTTTATTTCATATTCACTGTTCCAATCTCATGCTTCGTGCCTCCCAGCCTGAGTTTGCGGGGGGATGATAGAGTATAGAAATTGATGTATAGGATGATGAAATGTGTAATTAGATTAGAAGATGTGTTAGTTAAGGCAGTTAGCCTTGTTGTTAGAAGTGTATAAATATCTCAACCTCTTGTATTACTTAGAGATTAAGAAATATATCAAGAACATTCATTCTCTCTCTCTTCTCTCTGAATTGTTATCTCTCTCTAGAATTTCTGTATACAATTTCATAGATTTAGTTACATTTACACCATCAGCCCTGTCCATTGCACTCCGCTTCTGATTTCAAGATCAATCAAATGAACCTTGCTTTCCAAGGCAACGTTTTCAAGTATTACTTGGATTGCTGGGAACTGCATTACTGGAATAAAAGGGATATCTTGGCAGCATGCAAGAAATGAAAGGTTTGTGCCTAGTCCAAGACTATACGTAGACATCTGATTCCCCTTTTACATGCTGTTCCCCGTTTCCTGTTTTATTCTCTCGCGAAGCGCCTCGGTGAAATAGAAAACAACCCTCTGAACACCGTTGACCTTGAAGGAGGCATCAACTTCGCAATGAAGAAGCAGGCGGTTTGCGCGCTCAAATTGTTGGTAGCCTACCTTCTCTGCTGCAGCTAAAAGGATGTGAGCAAGCTCCACATCTTTCGTTTCTTCTTCAGATAGACCTGAAAGCGCGTACCCAAACGGGTGCAAAGGCATGAAAAAATCGCCATATCCTTGATCAGAGATTTGCACATACCTTGCTCCGGCAACCCTCATGATCTCCTCAGTTGACAGTTTTTGTTGGATCGAATATGAGGAGGCTTCAGCTTCATTGCATCTGTTGCTTAATCTGTCTCCCCTCAGCTTCTTGAACGCACTGCCGTAGTTGTTCAGGAGGTCCAACGCAGCTAAGGAAGACTGATGGGGCATTTGCTTGTTGGTTTCCGCAATGTCTGATCCTCCGATTTGGCTGTACATGAGCTGATTCCCCGCATCCTGGATCGTTTGAGTGGATGGGAAGGAAGGGTCAAAGGTGAAATTATCCAAATCAAAGTAATTTGACTTGGATTGTTGTTGGTAATGTTGGTTTTGTTGTTGGTATTGGCGGTGGTCGTGATCTTTGCATGAGCTCGTCCTTTCTTTGACTTGCTGTTGGATCGTTGGAGATCATGTTCGGAACAAACTGTATCGAAACTGAAATTATCCGTCATCAAATAACTTGCCTTGAAATGTTGTTGATCTTTGGACAAATGAGATAAATTTTCCCTCTCTCCCAACCCTAATTCTTGTATCCCAACCAAATGGTCTGGCTTCCCTTTGAACTCCTGATCTTCCTTCTCATATTCTTCAAGCTGGGGAGTCAAACCACCACCGCTGCCGAGGACTCCAAAAATCAAAGGCTGTGAAGGAGAAGAATGCATTCGCCATGTCGGATACGGGTATATGCACAAACAAATTCACCAAATATATTCTCAGAGCTTAAGAGAACCTGACAATAGTATTATTCGGATATGTGCCGATGAATATATCTATATCAATTTGTATGTTTGGTTGATAACAACGATCACAGGCATGGGTACTAAAGCACATTTTAAGGCGAGGAATGCAACCATGATAGTAACATAATTCCGATATATTCAACAAAGGCAGCAGCCATGAAATGCCAAAAACTTGTATTTAACCCTGAATTTGAGCTAAAAGTTAAACAACTGTCACTGCCTATCACCATATTTAATCAAAATATTCTTTGCAAGATTACAAGGTTGTTAAACGAAGGGATTTAATTAAAGGAAGAAGATGTGGACTCGCTTGGATGGGTACGGAGAGTTAAAGGACAAAACTCAGAAACATGACAAATATGTTGAATTATAAGTCTCTAGCTGATTGAGTATTAGAAATAAGATGAGTTTAATGTGTGTACTCACTTGAGCATATCTGCCAAGTGTAAAGTTAAATGATGTAAGGCCATGAGTGCCATGTGGTGTTTGATCCATGTAATTAGGTAGATGAGTGACTAAGATTAAAAATAGTGTTTTGTGTGGTCCTAAAGCTAAGGCCATCAGAAAAATGTAAAGCAGTGTTAGTGCGCATTTTTCAGTGTAGTACAAAATATTCCTCTGCAATACTTTTGCAAGAGTGAACAAGAAAGAAAACTTTTCGGTTCAACTTCTTCCATCTTTGCTTTGCTTCTGTTCAGCATTCTGAAAATAAACCCAGCTAAATCAAGTTACACTAACATGGCCTCAGAGCCTGGTTTCGATTAAGATCTGGGCGTGTTTCTGTGAGCTCAAACATCACCGTTTCTGGTTTCGGTGAAGTTTGCCGGAGTTTGTCTGTGACCTAAAGAACTATGTGTTTCTGGATTCACACAAGCTCACGATGGCTGGATCTGGGAGTGCTGAAGTGAGGACCCCGATCTTCTCCGGTGAGAACTATGAGTTCTGGAGAATCAAATGGTTACCATTTTCAAGTCATATGGACTGTGGAATCTGGTGGAAAAAGGGATTTCGGTTTCTGATTCGAAGAAGAAGAAAGCTAAGACTGATGAAGATACAGATGTTGATGCTGACGATGATGAGAAAATGACTGCAATCTTCATGAAAGATGCAAAAGCTCTCGGAATCATTCAAAACGCAGTCTCCGATCAGATTTTCCCTCGAATCGCAAATGCAGACTCGGCAAAAATGGCATGGGATCTGTTATATGGCGAATATCACGGTGGGGATCAGGTAAGATCTGTGAAACTCCAGAATCTTAGAAGAGAATTTGAATATACTAGAATGCGTGATGATGAATCCTTGACTGGGTATCTTACTCGTTTAAATGATCTGATTAATCAAATGAAAACGTTTGGTGAAATTCTGTCAAATGAGAGATTAGTACAGAAGGTATTAATCAGTCTCACTAAGATATATGATCCTATATGCTTAGTGATAGAAAATACCAAATGTTTAGAATCTGTTGAACTGCAAGAGGTACTAGCTATATTGAAGAGTCAAGAGCAGAGGTTTGATTTGCATTCCTCAGATGCAACTGAGAGAGCATTTTCTTCTCTTACTGTTAGTTCAAAAGGGCAGAATCGAAGTTATGCTCAGTCTAGTACTTTTAAACCACAGAGAAATTGGAATCAAAAGGGTAAGAAATGGGATTCAAAACCAAAGTTTCAGCAAAAATCATACACAAATATTGCACAGAATAGTACTTCCTCACAGGTTATGGGTCAAGAGAGTGTAAAACCTCAATGTAAAGTGTGTTCAAAGTTTCATTATGGTGAATGTAGATATAAGGGGAAATCCAAGTGCCATAACTGTGATAGATTTGGTCATTGGGCCAGAGAGTGTACTGTTGGAAAGTCTGTTCAAAAGGCAAACTGTGCAAGTCAAATGGAAGTGACAGGAAACTTATTTTATGCAAATTGTGCAGTTGCTGAGACTAAGGTTAATGGAGATTGGTACATAGATAGTGGTTGCAGTAATCATATGACAGGAAATGTTGATCTTCTTGTTGATGTGAATACAAATGTTGCAGGGAAAGTTCAAATGCCAACAGGAGTGTTAGTTAATGTGGCAGGAATGGGATCACTGGAAATTGAGACTAACAGAGGAAGAAAATACATTCGAGAAGTCATGTACCTACCTGGTTTGAAAGAGAATCTATTAAGTGTAGGACAAATGGATGAGCACGGATATTATCTTGTGTTTGGTGGACATATGTGCACTGTTTTTTATGGTCCTTCTCTGAAATGTCAAATTATCCGTGTAAAAATGAAAAAAAACAGGTGCTATCCTCTATCTCTACGGCCTGAAAAACAACTTGTGTTGAAAACCAGTTTTGCTCATTGTTCTCTGACTTGGCACAGAAGATTAGGCCACCTACACTTTGGTGGAATCAAGAAATTGAAGGATAATGACATGGTTCATGGATTACCATATCTAGATGAGTATGACAAAGTGTGTGAAGGCTGTCAATATGGTAAGCAACACAGAGAAAGGTTTCCTAGTGGTCAAGCACAAAGAGCTGGTGCTCCACTTGAATTGGTTCATGTTGATCTGTGTGGACCAATGAGAATCGAGTCTACTTGAGGAAACAAGTACTTCATGTTGCTTGTAGATGATGCAACCATGATGATATGGGTGTATTTTCTTAGATTCAAATCTGAAGCTTTTACTTGTTTTCAGAAATTCAAGGCCATGACTGAGTTGCAAAGTGGAATGAAGGTAAAATGTGTAAAGAGTGATAGAGGAGGGGAGTTCTTATCAAATGAATTCAAGCAATACTGTGACACAGAGGGAATCCAAAGGCAACTATCTCTATCTTACACTCCACAGCAAAATGGAGTGGTTGAAAGGAAAAACAGAACTGTGATTGAAATGGCCAAGTCTATGCTTCATGACAAAGGAGTGCCTTACTATATGTGGGCAGAAGCTGTGCATACTGCTGTCTATCTGTTAAACAGATGTCCTACCAAATCACTGGATAGTATAACACCTTTTGAAGCTTACAGCAAAAGGAAACCAGGTATTGCTCATTTGAAGGTTTTTGGCTCAGTCTGTTATGTCCATACTCCATCCGAGCTAAGGCACAAGCTAGAACCTAAGAGTATAAAAGGAGTCTTTGTTGGATATGCAAAATGTGAGAAAGGCTATAGAGTATTTGATCCAATCTCTAAGAGACTGATTCTGTCAAGAGATGTTGTGTTCGATGAAAACTCAGCTTGGGATTGGGAAAGAAGCACAGAAAGATATATGTCACTGCCTACTTATGAGTTTGACACTGTGAATACCCCAAGAAGTGAGAATAATGAAAATGACCCTCAAGTTTCAAGTGGTTCATCATCTGGCATATTGGAAGAAGCTACAAGTGATATTGATGATACACAGATCAATTCTCAGTCAAGTGCAGGTGTGAGTGACACTCAGGCATTTGATCATACTCCATTAAAATGGAGAAAGCTGGATGATGTACTTGCTCAATGTAATCTGTGCATTATAGAACCAGAGAAATTTGAAGATGCAGCTAAGGATGAATCTTGGATGAATGCTATGAAGGATGAGCTCTCCATGATTGAAAAGAATGCAACCTGGGAGTTAGTGGACAGGCCAAGTAACAAGCCTATAATTGGAGTAAAATGGGTGTTTAAAACCAAACTCAACCTGGATGGAACTGTGCAAAAGAACAAGGCAAGGCTTGTTGCAAAGGGATATGCCCAGAAACCAGGAATAGACTACAATGAGACCTTTGCTCCTGTTGCTCGGTTAGATACAATCAGAACCCTTATAGCATTGGCTGCACAAAAGAGTTGGAAACTCTATCAACTTGATGTCAAATCGGCTTTTTTAAATGGTGTTCTAGAGGAGGAGGTTTATGTAGAGCAGCCTGATGGTTTTGTAGCTAAAGGGGAGGAAGACAGGGTATATAAACTTCACAAAGCCTTGTATGGTCTAAAACAGGCACCACGGGCCTGGTATGGAGAGATCGATACATATTTCTCACAGTGTGGTTTTACAAGAAGTTTAAGTGAACCAACACTGTCCATCAAGGCAGAAGAGAAAGACATTTTGATTGTGTCGATCTATGTGGATGACATAATCTATACTGGGAGCAACAAACAAATGCTTGAAGAATTCAAGGAAGACATGAAAAGAAAGTATGAGATGACTGATTTGGGTCTTCTCCATCATTTTCTCGGAATGGGAATAATTCAATCAACTTCAAGCATTTTCATCCACCAAAAGAAATATGCAAGCTCTTTATTAGACAAATTTGGTCTAAAAGAGTGCAAACCTGTGCTTACTCCACTGGTTGCAACTGAGAAGTTAACCACAGATGATGGAAGTGGTGCAGCAAGTGAAGAGTTATACAGAAGTATGGTAGGAAGTCTCTTATATCTCACTGCAACCAGGCCTGATGTTATGTATGCTTCCAGTCTGTTAGCCAGATTTATGCACTGCCCTACCAGTAAGCATGTTGGAACTGCTAAAAGAGTGCTAAGATACATTAAGGGCACACTAGATTATGGTCTGGAATATGTGAAGGGTAAGAACTCAATGTTAATTGGGTTCTGTGACAGTGACTGGAGTGGATCAATTGAGGACAGTAAAAGTACTTCTGGTTATGCTTTCTCCTTTGGCAGTGGAGTATTCTCATGGGCATCTGTGAAGCAAAATTGTGTAGCTCTTTCCACTGCAGAAGCAGAGTACATCAGTGCTTCAGAAGCAACTACTCAAGCCATTTGGTTGAGATTTGTTCTTGAAGACTTTGGTGAATTTCAAACCGAAGCCACTCCAGTGCACTGTGACAACACCTCAGCAATTGCAATCACCAAGAACTCTGTGTTCCATCAAAAGACCAAACACATTAACAGAAGATACCATTTCATCAAGGATGCACTGAAGGATGGCATCATTGATCTGGTGTACTG